GAAATTTTTTATCAAGATCTGCATTCAAGATTTTTTACTTGGGAATTCCATCAACAACTAATCTGAACAATAAGTAATCAAGTGAACTAACTATATTTCACTTTTATCAAAAAATAGGGCTGTCCGCATAGGTTAACATCTTTTTCCTATAGATATTTTCTTATCGTTCCAAATGTTGGAACTATAATGCCGTTCTGATCTATGAACCCAACAGAAGTGCCATGCCTGAGAGCTGCGTTTTGAAGGATTTGCATACGGCTCTGAAAGGGGTCTCTGAAAATTCGTTTTTTGAATTTCACTTAGCATGAACGTCCTTCGAGAAAAACGACGATAGTTTTCCTCATTGCATCTCGGAGCTTTGAAACATTTTTTTTCTAAATTCGCGTTGCAAAATGCATATGAAAATGTGATTTTGAAGTTTTCGCATATTACGAAGTCGGCGGGAAAAACTTCGTTTCTAAAGGAACTCAGAAACGTGACCCTCCATTCAAAAAAGCATCAAATCTCTTGCCTTAAGAGATGCAATAAACAATGCGTCGTAGAAACTATTCTGAGTTCACAGAACAAAGAATACTTCTCAAACACGGTGTAGAAACCAATAACTTTGACTCATCGATTAGAAAAGAGATAAAAACATCTCTACAATTGCAAAAGCAATGCTAAACAAATCTGAAGTCTTGCCTAACAGGTAAATATCAAAACAAACGGTTACTAGTTAGTTCACTTGATTACTTATTGTTCAGATTAGTTGTTGATGGAATTCCCAAGTAAAAAATCTTGAATGCAGATCTTGATAAAAAATTTCTGTTCAGTTCTTTCAAGATCTTATTCAGATTTATCGATATCTGACAAGATTCTGAGATCATCTTGTGGTTCAAGATTGTCGATAAGTTTTGTTACAGAATCTGTCTTGAAAAAACTTGATGAAGATCCTGATCAAGACACGTAACTGATTCTGACAAAGCAATTAATTGCGGGATTATTGCTATTTTTTCTGCATGTTGTCTTAATCAACCTTTCAAACTTTCCATATGATTTTTTTTCAGGGGCTATGTTTATCATTTTGAACAATTTCATCAATTAATGACAGATTAGGACACACATCATAATTATTTATCTCTCAGAAAGTTAATAACTAGAGGCATGTCAACAGCACCACCAATATAAATTGAGAGTAATGGAGATATACGTGCATTTTTTTAAAAGAAATCTCTTGGTTGCTGATGTGAAACGCATTTTACCATTCTAGGTTTATCAATTTCTTTATAATAACTTGAATTTTTACGTGTGATGACAGAGTGGGCACCTTTTGTCGTGAAGAAGAGCTCTAAACAGACAAAATAGTCAAAACAAGAGACTGAGGTGCAGAAAAAGAATTCACTAGTGAGGAAAGACAGCACTCATGTTTTAGCACTAGCTAAACTGATTGCTTTTTTGTTTTGTATACTGCTATAAGCATTATTTTAAGAAAGTGTTATTTGAACATAACCAGAGAAGACAACGTTTATGATATTGTTTTTTATAAAGAGAGAGAAAAAAACGAACTGGAAACAATCAGCAAGGGTACAATAGATATTATTAGAAAAACAAAGGAAGCAACTCCAAATTTATCTTGCACTAACGAGAGAAGGCCCCATCTGTCAAATCGCTTTAGACGCAAAATTAGTGGACAATGGATAACCGAGCATGCTGATTCCGAATACGACGATGGTTTTTGCCAATGCATCTTTGGGGATCCCGGTTTTTGAAAAACTGGGTTTTCACAATGAAAAACGTTTTTGATCAAAATTTTTTTGGTCCACACAAATGAAAGCGCATGCTGTAAAACCTACGCAAAACGATCTTTTAAGATTTTGGAACGATTTTGCACAGTTTTTAAAGGGTTAAAACTTAATACTACAGCCGAAAAACAGCTTTGTACGTTCAAACTTTTAGTTTTGCACGCTTCCTAAACCTTAAAAAATAGTTTTGCATAGGTTTTACAGCATGCGCTTTCATTTGAACGGATCAAAAACAATTTTTGATGAAAACAATTTTTCATTGCGAAAACCCAGTTTTTCAAAAATCGGGATCTTCAAAGACGCATTGGCAAAAACCATCGTCATATTCGGAATCAGCATGCTCGGTTACCCATTGTCCACTAAGTTTTGCGTCTAAAGCGATTTGACAGTCGGGGGCCTTCCCTCGTAAGAAGTTTTTGCTGTGAACTGCAAATTGACAGTGTACTGGTCATGATTTAAATTTCATCCACGGTTTGGCAGTCAGAATAGAAGAGCTATCTGGTCTTCTATTCTGCCCGTTATGGGAGAGAGGGTACATGTGCAACAGACTGAATATTCTTATTTTAATCTGGTGTGGGAAAAGCAATATCTCATCAAGAAAGACTTAATAACTTGCAACAGAATACAAAATCTATATCTACATCTACATCATTGTTATGTTCAGCGTGACATTCGTACATACCAGACACAGCACAATACAAGAGCGTCATACGATCAAAAATCCGGTAAAGTGTAGCGAATGAATGACATAAAATGAAGCCTAATCTTGTCAAGAATGCTGCCGAAAGCTAGCAGATACACAATAAAAAAGCTCACTCATTAACACGGTAAGTAGCCGTCACTGATAGTATACTTTGGCTGCTACTAATGTTTTAGTAGGTGACAGGTCATGTTTTCTTGGCCGTACGGTATCTGTCGCCTCATCTGTTGATTTATCCGTTATTGTGTGGCTTAATATTTCATGTTTTAAATTGTTCATTGAATGACGCCATATACCGAGAATGACCACTAAACGTTAATTGACATTAAACAATTGAATTGTCAACCCTGATTTTTCTTTTCCACAAAACGGATAACATACAATATACAAAATTTTTTTCTCAGAAGAGTAACGTGGACGATGGAGTAGAAAGTATTCCTTCGTCTGAAGAGCACTTCAAGCATATAAGAGTAAAGTGGATAGTTGTTTCCTAAAGAAATCGTCATTGGATTGCGAAAAACCAGTCCGAAATCGCAAACATAAGACCTCCACTTATCGTGAGATGTTAGAAACCTGAAAGATCAGACTAGAAAAATATAAATAACTAATTAATAGACGTTTAAAAACAGAAATTGACTCATCGTTCATGCAGCTTGATTATAAATATGCCAATCCAGGCGTACGTTAAAATACTGAATCACTCATCTTTTGACAAGAATCTTATTTGAATAATAAAATATCTTGGAAAGCGTAACGTCATTAATATATAACAAAGATCCTATAATACGAAACACAGTGATGTTACGCCGTTGACAAATCTTGTCGTTTCAATCGAAAATCTGTTTTTTCAAAAACATTGAAAAAGCAACAAAAACGAAATAAAAATCTTGACTATGAAGACAAATTTGAAGAATCTTGGCTCAAATAGTAAAAGACAAAAATCTTGAAAGAAATAAGACAAGAAAGTCTATCAATGATGTGGCTATACACAATCAGATGAATAAATGAAGAACAGAAGAAAAAATAACGGGAAGAGTAGTACTGTTCTCGACACTCCTACATATTATTTTGTTTTTCTGACTCTTTCTCTTCAACGTGGATAGTGACATCCAATCTGCCTGTTTTTTATTCTTTAACTTTTTCGCGTTCTTATTTCTGAATCGTTATCCTACATATAACAAATGCTTTTTTCATAGACAACGCCTAACATTCCATCTGTAGTTTATATCACACGCATTTCATCTCGATTCTTTTGTTAAAACTTATTAAAGTTTATATCAATATGTAAAGTTTTCAATTTTCCTACGTAAGTTTGATTATTTGTTCTGTCAGCACTTCTTATTCTGATAAAAGCACTTATTTATTACATTATCAATTGATTTGTTATGGTTCGAAATTGTTGAACGCTAGAACGATATGACGTCAGTCCGGCGTTTGTACGTAATGTTGTGTGGTTTCGAAATCATTCCTAAAACCGTATCGACTCGCAATCTTGGCGCAAACATTATTATGAGTGAACCGATTAGTGCATATTTGCTTGATACAACTGAGGGTTGGATCCTCATTGATACAGGTCTCGATGAAACAAGAGTAGATGATCCCATATTGGCTCAAACATATTTTGTTAATCGTGGTTGGAAACCTCCGCCAGTTGTACTTTCCGTTCATCGGTTGAGATATCAACTTTCTCTTCTAGGACTTGAACCGCAAATGATTAGTCGTGTGATTTTGACTCATACACATGCCGATCATACCGGTAACCTAAAATATTTTCGACATGCAAAAATTTATATTCAACGTAAAGAATATGAGCATTCATTTCGACCACAAGGTGAACTGGGTTGTGCATGCATTCGAGAAGATTATGATTATCCGGATATAGACTGGCACTTAATGGATGGTGATTGGTCTGTAGTACCAGGTCTTGATATGATTTCAACGCCCGGTCATACTCCTGGGCATCAGTCTGCTCGTGTCGTGTTGCCAAGTGGTAACATTTTTATTCTACCTGCAGATGCCGGTGATCTTTTAGAAAATTTTCGTGATGAGATTTTACCAGGTGAATCTGTGGACGATGAAGCGGCACTTAAATCAATACGACTATTAAATCAATTAGCGTCAGAACATAATGCTTGTCTCTTCCTTGGACATGATCCTGTATTCATCCAAACGATAAAACTAGCACCCGACTATTATGACTGAAACTAACGAGGGAAGGACACCAACTGATAAATCGCTTTTTAGCTCTAGTCCAGCTCACAATAGGTAATCGACTATGCTGATTCCGAATATGAAAACCGTTTGGGCCGCTAGGCCCTCTAAGATCCGGTTTTTAGAAAGCCTTGGTTCTTCAAGCCAAAAACGTTTTTTTTCTAAACGATTTTCTGATCTGTGGAGATGAAAGAGTATATCGAGAAACCTATAAAAAACATATTTTCAGAATTTTCCGATGCTTCTGTAACAAGCTTTCGATAGCAAAACTTTACATACAGTGAAAGTAAGTGTACCCTCTTTTCCTTATCTTTCTATGAAAA